TATGTTAATGAGACCCTATCAGTGTAGGGTGTATTTTAAGCCAATCACTTTTGAAATACAAAAGACCAGACTAAGCACGGAGAAGTAGTAAGCACAGTGGGGAAGATACTTGCAACATGGATATTTCCAAGGAATCAAAGAATGTCAAGACTACAGAAATTGAAAAATGTCTCCCCCACTCACCCACAGGTGACAGAAAGCATGCCTTCCCTTAGAGCTGGCACGCTAAGTTCAGACTTCTAGCTTCCTAATTGTAAGAAATAAATTTCTGTTCATTAAAATCTTGTAGTATTTCTGTTATACCAGCACTAGGAAACTAGGTGAGACAAGCCTGTGGTCCCTCAGCAAACAGTAGTGGACCATGGCACTGGTCCACTGAACAGGGACTCTTTATTCAGCTCAACCTCCCTGATTGGCAGCAAGTCATTTTTACCTTCTGTCCCCCAAAGAACTGTTGGCCTTATTCCTAGGCAGCAGGAAGAGAGGGATGGAGCCGTGATGGCCCCTACCCCTGAAATATGAGGCTGCACTATAACCACATTGCATCTTTCTGCTGAGGAATCCAAAGTGCCCTGCCAGCTCTTCCTGGTCTCAAATGCTCATGGCACTGTCTGGGCCAACTGCAGAGTCTGAATTTGCTATTTTGTGCAACTTTTCATGTACTCATTGATGTATCAGCTAGGCCATGGGCCTTAGTTTCAAGCTGCAACACAAATTATGCTGTTGGTGACTTTAAAGAACAGAAATTTTCTCACAGCTCTAGAGGCTAAGAGTCCAAATCAGGATCTGTTAATTCCTTCCTTTTTGGTAGTGTAAGGTGTTCCTTGGTTTTGTGACAATTCTCATATGCCATCTCTCTTCCCCTATGTATGTGTGTGCTTCTATGTCTAATCTGCTCTTTTTATACCTCAGAAGTGATTAGATTTAGAACCCACCCTACTCAGGCATGATCTAATTAATATAACTAAGAAAACTCTTCCTAGCCTGTCTTAGTCTGGAAGCTCCACTAAAACTTGTCCACCACGGGTGAGCCTGTTAGTATTTGAAATATTGGTGGCATAGCTTCCAGCATCACAGCAACATGCAAGCCACCTCAATATGACAAACTGACAGAAGAATGATGGAAACATGCAAAGACCTGGAATTAGAAACCAAAAATGAAAGAACATGGTCAGCATTTCTCAAACTGAAAGAACTGCAGAAAAAATTCGAGCCTCAAATTGCAATATTGAAGGATTCTATGGGGAATATAGTGAATGATGCAAGAAGCATCAAAAGAAGATGGAAGGAATATACAAACTCACTGTACCAAAAAGAATTGGTTAATATTCGGCCATTTCAAGAGGTAGCATATGATCAAGAATGCTGATATTGAAAGAAAAAATCCAAGCTGCACTGAAGGAATTGGTGAAAAACAAGGATCCAGGAATTAATAGACTACCCATTGAGATGTCTGAACAAATGGGTGCAGCACTGGAGGTGCTTACTCATTTAAGCCAAAAAAATTTGGAAAACAGCTACTTGGCCAACTGACTAGAAGAGATCAATATCTGTGCCCATTCCAAAGAAAGGTGATCCAACAGAATTTGGAAATTATATATATATATATATATATATATATATAATTAAAATCACATGCAAGTGAAATTTTGCTGGCAACAACTCAAAAACAGTTGCACCAGTGCTTCAGTAGTAAATGGCAGATGATATAACTTTGCTTGCTGAAGGTGAAGATGATTTGAAGCACTTACTGATGAAGATCAAAGACTACAGCCTTACTATGCATTATACCTCACCACAAAGAAAACAAAAATTCTTACAACTGGACCAATAAGCAACATCAAAATAAATGGAGAAAAGATTGAAGTTGTCAGAGATTTCATTCTACTTGGATCCACAATCAACATACATGGAAGTTGTTGTTGTTGTTGTTATGTGCCGTCGAGTCGGCCCTGACTCATAGCGACCCCTCCTTGGGTTTCCGAGGCAGTATCACTACGGAAGTAGGATTGCCCAACCTTCCTTCTGAGGAGTGGCTGGTGGGTTTGAACCGCCAGCCGTCTGGTTAGCAGGCAAGTGTCTTAGCCACTATGCTACCAGAGGAAGTAGCAGTCAAGAAATCAGACATCATAATGCACTGGTCAAATCTGCTGCAAAAGACCTCTTTAAAACATTAAAGAGCAAAGATGTCACTTTGAAAACTAAGGTGCTCTTGACCCAAGCCATGGTGTTTTCAATTGCCTCATAAGCATGTGAAAGCTATACAAAGAATGAGGAAAAGTGAAGAAGAATTGATGTATTTCAATTGTGGTATTGGCAAAGAATACTGAAGAGACCATAGCATGTCAGAAGAACAAACAAATCTGTCTTGGAGTAAGTGCAGTCAGAATGCTCCTTGGAAGCAAGAATGGCCAGACTTTGTCTCACCTACTTTGGTCATGTTGTGAGAAGGGACCAATTCCTGGAGAAGGATATCATGGTTGGTAAAGTAGAGGATCAACAAAGAAGGGGAAGGCCCTCAATAAAATGGATTGACACAGTGGCTGCAATCATGTGCTCAAGTATAGGAAGGATTGGTGGTGCAGGACTCGACAGTGTTTAGTTCTGTTGTGTATAGGGTCACTATGAGTCACAGCCAACTTGATGGCACTTAACAACAACAAGAAATCTCTATTTTCAAACAGGATTATATCCACAGCTACAGCAGTTAGGATTCCAACACATATTTTGGGAGACATAATTTAATCTGTAACATCATACTGGAAAGTGTTCCGGGCATTTACACTGTCACGGTCCTACCAGTCAAGGTCCCAGCAGGAGGCAGAATCCACAGACAGGATTCAGAATGGAATGTAATGAAGGGACAATAACAGATGTGGAGGCAGAGCTAGGGAGACCCAAAGGGACGCGAGGTCATTCAGGAAGAGTGGGAAGCCATTGCCACCAACAGACTCAAGGGGCAAAGTAGGCAGTATTGCTAGGCCAGTCAGGATTGGTGTCCCAGGGGAGGAGCGTCATCATAGAAGAGTGTGGCAATGCCAGGACTGGCACAAGAGCATGGAGGAGCATTGGGGAGATATGCTGTGAATGGTCATACCCCTCCTCCAATTCCCATAATGCCTCCCTCTGGTGAAACCTCACTGGAATCCAGAGAGTCAAAGAGCCCAGTTTGTGCAGACTACAGGGCTGACTCCTTCTGAGGTGGGTCTGGGATGAGGGACAATGAGGGAATAGCTAGCACAGGGACCCTAAGCCCTGGAAATTAATCTAATGAGGGAGCAGGCAACAAAGAGTTAATTTAATTTTAGGCCATGTTCAGTGCCTTGAAGAAGACAGGCAATGTTCTGGGAGAGAATGGCGGGGAAGAGAAAACCATGTGGAATGGTCAGAGAGAACCTCTCTATAAAGGTGCCTATCTGATGGGTGGACAGTCTGAACTATTAGGTATGTCTATGAAGTGGGGAGTGTACCCAAGAACATGTATAGGGTTGGCAGACAATGGTCCTATAACTTTATATGTATGATCTGAATTCTCAGGTGTATAGTGGAGCTGACAAGGGGCAAGGTTGTAGCTATTGCTTGGTCACAGCCAGCTACCCAGAAGGACTGAGTAGTTGAACCTGTGAGCTCAGGACCATAGTCACAGAGGACGTCAAGCTCAATTGGCATAACATACTACACAAAACATTGTTCCACCTCCTACTGTGGCGAGTAGTGATTGGGATCTTAAAAGCTTGCAAGCTGCCATCTAGATGCAACGATGGATCTCTCCTCATCCAGAGACAAGAAGAATGAAGAAAACTAAAAATTCATCAAAAGAGTTAGTCCTAATGACTGGTACACCATCCGATCTGCAGCCCATATGACTATGAGACCAGAAGAACTAGATGGTGCCCAGCTACTACTGTCAACCATTTGGAGGAGGATCTATGTAGGAGATCCTGGATAGACAGGGAGAACAATGTGGAACAAAACTCAAAATTATTTGGAAAAAAAAAGGGGGAGAGGACCAGGTTTGCTGGCCCAATAGAGCCTGGTGGAACCACTGAGACTATGGCCTCTAGCTGCCCTTCAGGTCTGGAATTGAACCCACACCTGTGGTTTCCAGCCAAACAATAGACAAGCATATGAGTTGAACATTTACCTCAGGTAAATACACTCCTTGGAGAGAATAAGCATGGGAGAAAGAAGGGCTGCTTATGCACAGGGAGAGAGCTCATGGGGCAGGAGTGCATGGAGGGATGGACACAGGGAAGAGGTAACTATCGGGAGGAAGTAGGAGGGGAGATGTTGCATTGTGGTCAACTGTGGTCAATGTCATAAGACAAAGTGTATGTGAACTGCTGTATGGAAAGTATATTTGCTTAGTAAATTTTCACCCAAATCACAATAAAAATAAAAATAAAGGTGCCTATCTGAACTTGAGCACAATCACCCTTCAAGCCACCATGCAGTTTTTGTATGGAGCTCTGAACTTGGATGTCCTGTTGTTGTTAGTCACCATCAAGTTGGCTAGGTGATCTCATGTATAGCAGAACAAAATGTTACCCTGTCTTGTGCCATCTTCATGATCATTGGTATGCATGAGTCAATTATTACAGCCACTGATTTTGAGTGCTTTCCAACCTTATAGTGCTCATCTTCTAACACTATATCACACAATTTTCTGTTGTGATTCATAGTGTTTTCAGTGGCTGATTTTTGGAACTAGATCACTAGATCATGAATGACCTTGCTGGTATTTGAAATACGGCTGGCATAGCTTCTAGCATCATAGCAACATGTAAAACACCACAGTACAACAAATTGATGGATGAGTGGTGGGCCCTGTTCATACTCTGTACTTATTTCTTCTACAGGAAAAGATAATAATCTCTCTGCAAACGCATCTAGCCAACGAAGAGATCTGGTTTTGAAGGAAGAAGACTGTATCCACCCCTGCAGAAGCAGTGCCTGAAGTGCTCACCAGCTGGCTGGCAGTCTTCCTGTGCTAGCAGGCCATGCAGGGCAACAAGAAGGGCACAGATGGCTTCAGCGACTCCTCAAGCATTGGGAGCCTGCTGGATGATGCGGATCGTGAAGTTAGCAGCCTCACAGACCGAGCCTTCCGCAGCCTGTGCATCTCCGAGGACACAGCCTTCAGCGAGTCCCCAGAACTTACCTACCAGGTGCTTGGAACCCTCCACCAGGGCACTGTGAGCCATACGCAGAGGAAGAGCGGCATTTGGAGCCATTTACCCTCACAGAGCACAGAGCATGCTGGCTGGGCAGCCACTTTCCAGCAGTTACCCAAGTACGTGCAAGGAGAGGAGAAGTACCCCAAAGGCAGCCCCCCACCAACGCCAGCCCAGAGGAAGCTGGAGGTGCCAGTTTCTGGCCTGAGGAGCAGCAACAAGCCCCTTTCCAAAGTGTCATCCCTAATTAAATCCTTTGACAGGCCAGAGAGCCAGCGTGGTGACAGCAGGCCTCCCCCAAGCAAGCCTCCCACTCTGAAAACTGCCCCCAAGTTTGCTCCTCTTCCAGAAAGTGGTGTCAACTTCTGCTTTGATTCAGCCTTTCTAACTGTCAGGAGGGTGCCTGCCGAAGTCTCCAGCACTCACCAAAGCAGCCATCAGCCTGACAGGAAGCACGGGGAGCAGGAGTCCCCAAAGAACACTGAAATAGCCTATCACAGCTCCAGCAGCTTCCTCCCAACCTCCAATGATGCCTCCAGCTCCTTTGACTCCAAGTTTCACTCCCCAGCCCACAAGCCAGCCAAAGGTGAGCCCGGAGGAGGCAAGGAGTGGGCTCCCAAAGGGACTTTCCTTCATAGTGAAAACAGTGCTTTTGAGTCGTGGAGCACCCACCAACCACGGCTGGTAAAGAGAAAAGATTTGGCTGAAGGGCTCCCAGAAAGCAAAGACCCCAAACATTACCAGGATGTACCCCTTCTAAGAGAATCCCACCCACCTGAGTACAAAGTCTCCCCCAGCCAAGTTCCAGCTGGCTGTAGTCAGGAAGAGAGCAAGCTACTCACTGGGACTCTCTCCACATCTGGATCCTGGGCCCCAAGGGACCCTGGAACCCAGGTGTTCACTATGGAGGGAAAGGCTTCCAGCTCCCAAGCTAACCCCCAAGGGAAGCCAACACAGCCACCATGGAGGAAACCAAAGATCAGCAAGGGAAGCAAAGAAAGTCTACAAGATACTTCAGAAGAAAAGAAACAGCATCACAAAAGGGCTCCCACTTTGTATGCAAAGCAGACCCCCCAGGGACAATTTCCTGAAGATGAATCTCCTGACCTGACTGTGGACCCCAGCGAGCATTACACTCCTCCTTTCAACATCAGTAAGCTTCTAACACCCATCATACCCAGCAAGCATGTCCTGGACTCGTTGAACAGCCAGCTGCCAGAGAGGATTCCATCACCCCCAGGACAACCCAATGGGTACCAGGAGAAGGAGCCAGGTGAGGGCCAGTCCCGAGACAGTTACAAATCCAAAGCCCCTAGCCTGCTGTTCAATCTCAAGGATGTTCGCAAGCGTGTAAAAAGCACCTATAGTCCCAACCCTCTCTTGAAAGGCCTTGATGAGAAAGCCAAGGTTGACAGTAAGCAAGAGACTGTTAGCAATGGAGACATCCTCCCCAATGGGCTTGAGGACAGTCCTGCAAGCCAGCTTTCTAAGGAGAGAACATCAGATGTTCCTACAGCATCATATATCAGCACCCAGAAGGACCCTAGAGCTGACCCCAATGGGTCATCTGTGAACAACTACCTAATTCTTAGCTCACCTCCAACTACTGCCTCCGTCTGTGTCAATGGGGAAGTTGCTGAGATGGACAGCTATGAGAAGGCCAATGCTGATGGAGAGGCAAAGCTGAATTCCACCAGACCAGGCTGTGGTCCAGACTCCAGCCAGCATGCCCTCAGGAAACACCTTTCTCTAAAGCTCTGTAGCCGAGACCCTGAAGCTACAAAGGCTGCTGAGCCACTGCAGACCCACCAACTGCAGAATGGGTTCTCCAGATCAATCTCCCAAGACACAGACCCTGAACGAGAGATAGGCCTGCAGCACCCAAACTCCCACCAGAAGCCCTCCCCAGGGCCCCTTTCTCCTGAGGAGGAAGATGTGTTTTATAGTGACAGCCAGTCCGATTTTATGCCAGGCCTCCAAAGCAAAGCCAAATTCAGCACCAGTTCTTCAGATCAGTCCTTTGCCTCGTTTGAGGACCAGCAGAAGACGTGGTATGCCGAGAGCCAGCAGGAAGACAGGAAGAATGATGTGAATGCAGGTGACAGTCAGATGAACGAGAAGCAAAGATTTATGGAAAACAACGGGCAACAATACTATGCCTTAAGTAATGGACATACATGCACAGACGAGAGCAGCAAGGAGGAGAGATTGCAAAGAGATGGTGAGAGTTTGTCTGGAGGGAGACCAAGGAAGGCATCAACAGAAGAAGCAAATTTCAGAGGCTCTTGGGTTGTGGGAAATAGGGATACAGCACTTTCACATGCCCAAGACCTTGCAGCAGCACCGTCTTCCACTTCAAACAAGCACAAACTGTTTACAATTAAAGACAACACCCTCAGGGCCACCCCTGTAATCAAGCCCATCATGCTGCCCCTCCTGAGGACAGTGTCTTCAGAGGACTCACCCAGTGGTGGCCACAAAGAGGCAGAATTGCCAAGGCCAGGTGAAGATGCTGGTCTCTGTGCCCCAGAGAACCAGAGAATGCCTGGCACCCCAGTACCTGTCCACCCACTCTCCACTAATATTCAAGACACACACCGGAGGCACACAGCTCACCAGGGGCCAGAGGACCAGCTGCAAGCACCTGGCAAGGCCAAGATAGAGACCTTCCAGCCATCTGCAAAGAGAGATCTCCCACCTCCTCCACTGGCAGGAGAGGGTGAAGGGATGAGGACACCCCCAGAAGTGGTCCCTAAAGTTGTGGGGGACAACGGCAAGAGGAGCTCCACAGAACAGGGGAGGTTGAATGCTCCAAGGAACATCCCCAAGATTGCTGTCTCAGAAGACAGCACAGAAGACAAGCCACCACAACACCTGCTTGGAATGTGTTGGGAAGAGCAGACAGAAGGTTTCAAAAGTAACTTTTTGTCCACACCCAGAGCAGGGGCCACGAGGAGAAGATTGGTTCCTGGTGAGATGGCAACTTCACCTAACTCCAGCTCTCTGGAAGGGGATAGCGCATGCTCTCCCACTGCCAGCAGTGTTTGGGACAATGCCTCTCAGGCCCCCAGTGAGCAGGGCCTGCCACCACAAGAGGTGACTCTCCTTACCAGCCCCTGGGCCAGCCTCGGCCCTTCACCAGTCACCCGGCGGGAGGACCTGACCCACGCCCTGTTGTGGGAGGATAGCTCTGAACCCCAGCTGGAGCCAGCAGCAGAAGACCTCAGGCCTCTCTCTCCCAAAGGCTCCCTTTTGGATGTGACCTCCAGCTCAGCAGGTCTCCCAGAAAGACCAGAGCTACCTGTGCAGCTGGAAAGGCCAGTAGGCAAGCCACCTGCAGTCCCACCTAAAACTGAGAAGGCCTTGAGGAGGGCAAAGAAGCTGGCCAGCAAGAGGAGAAAGACAGACCAGGTGCAAGGGAGGCTTGGTGAGCCCTGGGAGGAGAGGCCCTGGCCTGAGAACTCAAAGAGGGCTGAGCAGAGGCCACTATCCCCTAAAGAGATGCCCCGACGACCCAGTTTCCCCTCAGTCCGGTCCCTGCCCCCTCCTATGCACCGCCACTCCGTGTCTAGCTTCTTAGAGCATAACAGGAGGCAGCCTGGGGGGCTTCAGTCAACCAAGCCCCTGCTCCCATATCCTGCAACACAGAAGGTCCTCCAAGACCCCCAATCTGGAGAGTACTTTGTCTTTGACTTGCCACTCCAGGTGAAATTCAAGACCTTCTACGATCCAGAGACAGGCCAATATTTCAAGGTCCCCATCCCATCCTCAGCGAGGGACTCCCCAGAACCACCCCTGGCAGACACATTGGGTAACCACCTCCTACTGTTTCCAGGCATCCAGCCCCTGCATGTGACAGCCTTGACACCCTTGCGGTGCTCCTCCCAGCTCTCCACTCCCACCTTCCTGCAGCCTAGACCATCCACCACCACTGAGGTGGCCTCTGTTGGGCACCAGGCCCCCCATGAGGCTGGACTGCAGCGTACCCCTGAGGCCTCCAGGAACTCCACCCAGAATGTGCCCAGCCAGTACCCCGATGGGCCTCCCCAGAGCCCAGATGAGGAGGGCAGAGATGCTCCAAGCCTGGAGATCATCGCCATCAATAATTTGGAGGACTTTGCCACCGAAGGCATTTCCTGAAAATTAAGGCAGACTAACTTTCCCCCTGCAAATAAACCCAGAAAAGCTTACTTCCTCCTTCCCCAGAGCAATCACTCTCATACATGCACGTACTCACACAGGCACACATATGTGCACACATGTGCACATGCATGCACATGCATGCACAGGCACACATGCATGTGTGCACGTGCATATGTGCATATATGCATGTGCGTGGTTATATGCTTATGTGCTCATCCATGCACACATGCACACATAGATACTGCCACATACTTAGCCATTTCAGATCCCCAAAGTTCAAAAGGATGTGGGAGATTCAGAGGAAACCCAACACAAAGGGCCCCCCTGGGGCATCCCTCTGCTAAAGAGCATATCCTCTGTGGGGGCACTGTTTGCAAGTATAGACTGAGACCCTTTCCAAATCTCTTCCACTTCCTTTACCTCCCCCTCTCCATCTTCCTGTCCTCTCCCTGTTCATCTCCTGGACCACTGCCTCCAACCCCAGACTCCTACCTGACTTCTAGGGTTGCTCTGCTTAACCCTCCATATCACCCTTTCTCTGGGTCAGGGCTCACAATGGGCACATCCCCCAAGGTGCTCAGAAATGGCTGTGCTGAGTGGGGGGATCCAAGGAAAGCAGGTTGCACTGAAACACACAACAACCAGCCCAGAACCAGGGCATAGACAGGGAAGCCTCACCCCAACGCAGAACCACCGCTATTCAGTGTTCACAACCTCTAAGGCTTAAGACTAACAGAAGGAAATGGGACAGACACCTTGTGGGGATGTTGAATAGGATGGGTTTTCTTTACAGGCAAACCTATCTTCTGAAGCCTGTTTTCTGATAAAGAAAAGTCTACCTTTAGAAAAGTGAAACAATTTGCAACCATGATTCTGTCCCAACTCCTTTCTTCTATGGCCACAGCAGATATGCCCAGCTGGTGGTACAAGGGCCATGTGGACTCCAAGCCTGTGTCCCTGTCAGACTGTGTGTGGAATCCTCCATGTCTGAGCCCTCCACCAAATTCAGGTCCAGTTCGGCTCCCTCCCTACCCAGCATACACCCCTCAGCCTGCTGATGCTTCTTCTGCTAGGGCCAGGAACAGAAAGATGAGGATACTCAACTCTTGCCCCAGGACTGCCTGACATCTCCGTACTCAGCAGAAGAAAATTGTTCCTAATTGATAACTGGCACCTGTGCCCTAGTAGCAAAAGAAAATGCTATTTTGCCTGAATCCCTAGCCCTTGGGATTTAGAGGGAAGTATCAGAATCAAAGCAAGGCAGCAGAATGAAATGACTGCCCTGCCCCTTTGAGAGCAGTCTGGGTTTGTGAGTAGGTCTGTGGGCAGAAGAAAAGAAGGAGGCCCCTCTCTGTAGGTTTCTACCAGCTGCTCTTGCTGAACCCTCTTAATTCTTTTTCTGTGGGAAGTACCAAAGCAAAGCATCTTTCTCCTTCTTTAGAAACCCCAGCAGCTGAAGGGACTGTGCAGCCCCAGGGGACCAGGCAAAATGCACAACAGCTCTTGCTCTGTTCACAGTTAACCATAATGCAAATGGTTGCTAACTGAAAGGTTGAATGTTCAAGTCCAACCAGAGATTCCTACAAAGAAAGGCCTGGAGGTCTACTTCTGAAAACTCACCCACTGAAAATCCTATGGAGTACAGTTCTACTCTGACACACATGGGATTTGCCCTGAGTCAGAGTCAAGTCACAATGGTAACTTGTGCTCTGTTCTCAGAGATGCTGTTAAGGCTGGGAAGATGGGAGCCCCCACAGCTCCTCAAGTCCCAGAATCACAGCCACACAGGGCCTATAAACATATTTGGGTCAGAACATGGAGTCAGCATTTTGGACATACTCATTTCTCTCAACAAATGCAGCCACTCCTTAACTTCATTGTGAAGTTTACTACATAAATTCCCAGCCTCAGTGCCATCAGGTTTGGCTTCCCCTACAGAGTCAGCCAGAAAGATCAGTGGGGAGTCAAGACAGATTAGTGTCAGGGGAATCTGATTCACAACAGTCACTCACCGATGCTCCTGGTCCCACTACCCAGTCACCAGGTAGTCGGTCTATCATGTTTCCATCTTACTAAATATGAAATAGAACATCTGCTTTTAAAATTCCTTGGGGCTCCAGAAAAAGAATTGCCTAATAGAAAGAGAATTCCTCAGTTAAATAGAGAAAAAAATATCCCATTAGGGGATTTGTGTTTGGGTAAGCAGCCATCTTCTGCCTGAATTCTGGAGTAGAAGCAATATAGACATAGCTAAGAACATCAAGACAGATATTTGGAAACAGGGTATTTAGCATCCCCTCCTATCAAGAATTCCCTGGATATCTGGTTCCCCAGAAAGTCACACAGCACATGAAGGCCTTGATCATATGACAGCAAAGTGCTCTGTGTTCCTAAAAAACAGAATATGTCTCTTTATTACTGTTAAGTGCCATTGAGTCTCCTCTGACTCACAGAAACCCTATGTACAACAGAACTAAACACTGTCCAATCCTGCACCATCCTCACAACACTTGCTATGCTTCAGCCCATCACTGCAGCCACTGTGTCAACCCATCTTCTGGCAGATCTTATTCCCCTTTTTTTCTGACCCTCTGCTTTACCAAGCATGATATTTTTCTCCAGGGAATGGTCCCCTCTGACAACATGACCAAAGTAGGTGAGACAAAGTCTGGCCATTCTTGCTTCCAAGGAGCATATCATCTGCACTCTTCCAGAACAATTTGGTTTGTTCTTCTGGCAGTCCGTGGTATTTTCAGTATTCTTTGCCAACACCATAGTTCAAGGCATCAATTCTTCTTCAGTCTTCCTTATTCATTGTTCAGTTTTCACATGCTTATGAGGCAATTGAAAATAGCATGGCCTGGGTTAAGCAGACCTTAGTTTTGAAAGTGACAGCTTTGTTTTTTAACACTTTAAAGAGGTCTTTTGCAGCAGATTTTCCCACTGCAATATGAAGCCTAATTTTTTTTACTGGTGCTAACATGGGTGTTGATTGTGGATCCAAGTAAAATGAAAGCCCTGACAACCTCAATCTTTTCTCCATTTATCATGATGTTTCTTATTGGTCCAGTTGTGGGGATTATTTTTGGTTTTTTTTTACGTTGAGGTGAAATCCACACTGAAGACTGTAGTCTTTGATCTTCTTTAGTAAGTGCTTCAAATCATCTTCACTTTCAGCAAGCAAGGTTATGTCATCTGTTTATTGCAGGTTGTTAATGCATCTTCCTCCAATCCTGATGCCACATGCTTCTTCACATAGTCCAGCTACTTGGATTATTAGCTTAGCATGCAGATTGAATAAGTATTATAAATGCTGATAAGAATTAAAACAAGTCCACAAGAGCCAAAATATGACCTTTATTATATCCCACTTGAATTTAAAAACCATCTGAAGAATAGATTTGATGCATTGAACACAAGTGACCACAGACCAGATGAGTTATGCGATGACATCAAGAACATTATACACGAAAAAAGCAAGAGGTCATTAAAAAGATAGGAAAGGTAGAAAAGGCCAAAATGGTGTCAGAAGAGACTCTGAAACTTGCTCTTGAATGGAGAGTAACTAAAGCAAATGGAAGAAATTATGAAATAAAGGAACTGAAGGTTTTGAAGAGCAGTTTGAGAGGACAAAGTAAAGTATTATAATGAAACTTGCAAAGATCTGGAGTTAGAAAACCAAAAAGGAAGACCATGCTTGGCATTTCTCAAGTTGAAAGAACTGAAGAAAAAATTCAAACCTTGAGTTGCAATATTGAAGAATTCTATGGGCAAAATATTGAATGATGCAGGAAGCATCAAAAGAAGATAGATGGAATATACAGAGTCACTGTAACAAAACAAATTGGTCAATTATACCTCTAGAAGAGAAGTTACAACTCACTTGCCAAATGAAGTTCTCCTCCTTCTGTTTGTCACTAGGAGGTGATCATGAATGCCTCATCCCTCTTTTCTTGCCTCCCCCACCCTTCTCTTTATCCCCCTCATCCCTCCTTCCTTCCTTCCTTAATCATCTTTCACCACCCCCTTTACTTGCCCTCTCTCTTCTTCCCCCTCTCCATGATTCTTCTCTTCCACAAACATTTGCAGTTCCTGCTCTGTGCCAGGTACTTCTCTGGGGGCTGAAAATACAGTGATAATAAGATCTGATCTCAGCCCTCAAGGGCCTAAAACTAACAGAGAAGAAAGACAACTGCCATCCTATGTGGTAAGTAATTTAATAGGGTGCTCTGAGCCCCACCCCCACTCCACCTGGAAAGAGAGGGGGGCTTCCTGTGGGAGATGGCACCTGAGCCCAGGCAGCAAAACAAAGTGGTGCATCACTTATGGAGAAACCAAAATTTCTCCAAAATACTTTTATTCATGCTTTCATTCTGGCTATCAAACAAAGATGACATTATTAAATACAAACAGATTAATTTTGCCATATAAAAATGTGTTTATGTAGCTAATTGTTTAATAGCAGTTCTCAACATCACAAGATGTAAGCCAGTGTGGCTTCCCAAGATAAACACTTATTGATATGTCCTTCAGCTTCTGATTGATATTTCACTCTTTTGAGTTGCCCAGAAACACTGCTATTTCTACCACTGTATTTAATAAGATAGTGATGAGAATTGTGAAAATATATTGCTTGTGAAAATCATAGGTAAAGGCTATGCCCATATCTTCTATTTAGTATGTGTCTTTCACTGTGAGTCATGGCTCCTCCTGAGGGGCGTAACCTACATGTAGAGCAAGTTGAGGGAATGGCAAAGTTTCTTGGGCTGTTCAGCTGAAAGTGACCAAGAGCTTTCATAGTCGGGCATCTACTGTGAGCCAACTCCTGTGTGGGGAGCTTTGAGGCCTAGTCTCCATTCTCCTAGAAAGCCAGGAGAGTTTTGTTGTTGTTATTTGCCATCGAGTAGGCCCTGACTCATAGCGACCCCTTCTTGGGTTTCCAAGGCAGTATCACTAAGGAAGTAGGAATGCCCAACCTCCCTTAGCCTCAATTTACC